AACCACAATGAGATATCACCTCACACCAGTAAGGATGGCCAGCATCGAAAAGACTAAGAACAACAAATGCTGGTGAGGATGTGGAGAAAGGGGAACCCCCCTACACTGCTGGAGGGAATGTAAGCTAGTTCAACCATTGTGGAAAGCAGTATGGAGGTTCCTCAAAAAGCTCAAAATAGAAATACCATTTGACCCCAGAATCCCACTCCTTGAAATTTACCCAGAGAATTCAACTTGGAACCGAGGTCAAGAAACCAGAGAATACAGATTCAAAAAGACAGATGCACCCCTATGTTTATCTCAGCACTATTTACAATAGCCAAGATATGGAAGCAACCTAAGTGTCCATCAGTAGATGAATGGATAAAGAAGATGTGGTACATATACACAATGGAATACTATTCAGCCATAAGAAAGAAACAGATCCTACCATTTGCAACAACATGGATGGAGCTGGAGGACATTATGCTCAGTGAAATAAGCCAGGTGGAGAAAGACAAATGCCAAATGATTTCCCTCATTTGTGAAGTATAACAATGAAGCAAACCTGAAGGAACAAAATGGCAGCAGATTCACAGACTCCAAGAATGAACTAGCAGTTACCAAAGGGGAGGGGTGTGGGAGGGCGGGTGGGGAGGGAGGGAGAAGGGGACTGAGGGGTATTATGTTTAGTACACATGGTGTGGGGGATCACGGGGAGAACAGTGTAGCACAGAGAAGGGACACAGTGGATCTGTGCATCTTGCTGCACTGATGGACAGCGACTGCATTGGGGTGTGGGTGGGGACTTGATAATATGGGTAAATTTAGTAACCACATTGTTTTTTCATGTGAAACCTTCATAAGAGTGTATATCAATCATACCTTAATAACAAATTTTAAAAAAAGATATTATGTTCTAAAAACCGCACCAACAAACACACACTCAAATGAGTTTTACCTCCTAACCTGACACATGAGGCTGCCAATTGGTTAATCTGAGCAGTTACCTGGTTAATTCCCCAGAGGGCTAAGTAGTAAAGCTCTTATTTGATGACTGTGCTGAGACTGCAAGATAAGCTTTTTAAAAAATTACCATTTCAGCTTCTCTCTCTAAAACAATATTTCCTGTATATTCCGCAAACAAAACAAAGTGTGGCTGATGTCAGACTATAGTCTCTAACCTCTGACTTCAAAGTTCGATGTCATCGAAATGGCCTCCTGGTTCTGACCCATTCACCGCCAACTAAGTGGAAAGTATGCATTCGTGCATGTGAAATAAATCCACTCACAGCAGGTGGTTGTCCTTGCTTCACTCACTGGGTAAGTATTTTATACTTATCCACATAATATTTTTTAACGGGCTTTCTAGCAATTTAGAGGCCCACTGCCCCACATGACCCCCCCAGTCCTCTCTGTCCTGGCTGGTGCATGTCACTGTCAAATGCCTCCTCTCTCTCTCAGTTTCAGTCTGCATCTGTGTCAGCTAAGCTCTAGAAGTGGATTTTGTCAGATGATATCTAGAGGTTCTGGACAGGTGGTTCCTAGTAGTTTGTTTGGGAAACCAAGGACGGTTAGGGTGTCATTCTGTCTCACTGAGTAGAGGACGGTCATTTAAATACCCAGACTAAGTTAATCTTCCCTCCAGCAAGTTGCCTCGGGACAAGAGGAGCATTTTTAGCAGGCTGGGACATCTGAGATCCAGTCAGTGACAGCAGGTGGCTGGGCAAGGACCTTCAAGTTCAAGTCAGCACAGCTCACTTGCCTTTAACGGCTATGTCAGTTTGTCCTTCTGGTAGAGGGGGATGCAGCAGTAATGCTGTGCTTCCGGCTGTCAAGGCACTCACAGACCCGAAGGAACGCAGGCAATCTGTCATCAAGTCCAGCCATGCCGATCACAAGCATCCTTCATTAAGGCCTGTTCTGTGTCAAGGCCGTGCTCATCACTGGAGATACAGAGATGAACCAGCAGGCAAGCTCCCTGCTCTCATGGAATTCACCCAGTTGGCACGGGGCTGGGTGTGTGAGGCAAACAGTAAACACCACCACCAAAACAGGAATCAGTTGTTTCCAGTCCAAAGGATAAATTCTATTCAATGGAATGGGAAAAATATTTAATGCATCAAACATTTAATGAGAAACTACTATGTGCCGGGCCCTGGTTAGGGGTCAGATTACAAAGGGCCTTCTGTGTTAAGCCAAGGAGGTTAGACTTCATTTTAAATCTAAAAACATAGGGATGGCAGAGTGTCATTCATAATGCTGGGAGTTTGTGGAAGGCTTCTTGGAGGAGGGGGCGTTTGACCTGGATCTTGAAATGTGCTAAGAGGACAGGGTTGGCTGACCAAGCAATCCCAAGTTGGGCCTGAGGTTTCAGGCTTGTCCTTGGGTGTGTAACCAACTGTAAATAGGAAAAAAAAAAATCCCTCTGTGCCCAGACCCAGGAGAATATGAGAGAATGACTGTGAAAGGCTCTCCAGGCTGAGGCTTAGTCATTTTAACCGATGCCTTATCGACCCATCAGAAAATCACAGAGGAGCCTTCCCTAGCACGGGTAAAGGCGGCCCCCAGCAGCCCCATGGGAGGCCTGGGGTGTGGCCGAGTCAGGAAAGGGCCGTGGGTGAGGTTCTCAGGCCAGGCCACAGGTCTTCAGGCCACAGCTGCCTCCTCCTCCCTTAACTGATATCCCACAGCTGTGGCTCCCAAATTCCCGAGTCACAAATTCTGCCAGTTACTAGCTGTGAGCGACTCACCCTTATGTTCCTAAATTGGAAATGCCAACAATAACACCCTCATGGGGCTGTCAAGGGGTCAGTGAGATCTTGGCATATATTAGGTGCCCAAAAAGTATTTGTTTTCTTCTTTCCATTTTTTTTTCCTCCCCCGCACTTCCTTCCTGCCATTCCTCTTGCGTCGAGAAGGACCCATGGAAAGAACAGCCCATGTTAAGAGCTATGGAAAGATTTTTTAAAGATATGGACTTGACTCCCACCCATCTCACAGGTCTGTTGGGAAGTTCATTACTGGCTGAGAAAAGAGGGGAAGACATCACAAGCAGGCAATGCCAGCATGGGCTGAAGTGATTGCAAATGCTGGTGGAGTCCCTGGAAGCTGAGGGCTGAGCAGAGTGGCTTAAGAACATCTTGATGCTCTAAGAAGGAGGAGGTGTTCCAGGAAGAGGAACCCGCACATGCAGACACAGTGTGCAGGAAGCCAGGTGGGAATGGGCAGGATCCTTTGAGTTGCATCTCCTAGCAGAGGACAATGGAGAAGGTGGTTAAGAGGGCTGGCGCTGGGTTATGAATGTATTCCAGGCTATGCACCCTGGCCCCCAAGTGGGAGACAGCAGGGACCTTTGGTGGGGGTTGTAGGGAAGACTACCTGGTGACCTCAGGACAGCTGTACATGTGACTGGTTTGGAGTAGAATGTTTCCTGCCTGTATACCAGTCAGGGTGGTCTGCGTTTTGCTGCAGAAACAAATAACCCCCAAATCTTAGGGGCTTAAAATGGCAATGGAGAAGGCCTTGCAGATAGAGCCCCACTCTCCAGGGCATGTGGTGGCCAACATCCAGGATGAAGGGCACCTCCACATCAGTCCAGGCCTCCCCAACACCCCCAGCAGGGGGAGGGAACATGGAAAACACTATACCTGATCCTAAATGCCCAAATTCAGTCACAGCCTGTCCTGGCTGGGCGACCTCCTTCAAGCAGTGGAGACCGTTAAGCCCGAGGGGGAGGTGGTTTGGAGGCAGGCCACTGTGGGCAGACACCTTATGCTGGCAGCACCCGCCTATTGGCCAGCAAGAGGGGGTGGGACCATCAGTCTTGGGTGAGTCCCCTGGCCCTGCCCTGCCAGTGCTCCCCTCTGGACTGGAGAGCTTGGAGAGGAGTCCCTGGCATTTTATGTTGTGGTGCAAAGGTGTGGGCTGGTGTATAGGCCCCCAGCCATTTAGCTGACCAGGGGACATGGGTAGAGGGTGGTTGAGGAAAGGGGCAAAGGAAAAGAAGTGGAGGGAGATGAAGGGAGGGAGGAGGAGGCAGAGCACGAGGAGAAAGGCAAGAGGTGCAGGAGGCCCACCAGGCTGCCTGGCACGGAGGCCTCACCCAACAGTATTTCCCAGGCAGCTTTCCTCTGCCTGTGGCCTCACCTTCCCTGGGGCCGGTCAGTGGGAAGGGCCAATGACCGGCTCCGGGCTCCCTTGCCCACTCAGAGCGGCCCTGCTTGCGGCCCTACCCGCGTTGGCACGGTGACAGTAGCCAAGTGTGCAAACTTGTGCCATTGTCCCCAGGCCAGGGGGAGCCATGGAGACTGGCTAATATGACACAGGAAAATGTTTGCTGATGGCAATTCTATGGGCTTTGTCCACCTCTTTCTCCATCATGACGACTCGATTTAAGTTCCTAACTGTTTGACTACAAATGCAAGGGGACCGTGCAACGCCAGCCTTTTGTCCGGCCGCACTGAATGGGCAATTCAGGCTTTGTGCAGCTCAATTGAGGAAGCAAACATAAAGACAAGATTCCTGAGAGCTCCTGCTCCCTTCCCATGGATATCCCAGCACCTCGTTAGAGAGTCCTTCCTCGGCTACCTTTCCAACATCCGTGTGCTGCCTGTCCTCGCAGGCCTGCCAGCACCTGATGCCTCAGTGGGGGTGGGGAGGGGGAGACAGAGAGACAGACACAGAGAGAGAGAGAGACCCACAGAGAGAGAAGGAGAGAGACACTCAATATTCAAGGACAGCGCAGAAAGCAACCCGCCCGGGCTTACCCCGTCCGATTGTCTGTCTGCACTGGAGCATGGCAGCTGTAGGCCTGGAGTCTTTGGGGGAGGTTTGCAAGCCCATCTCTTCTGGGCCCAACCTCTCCTCAATCCCGGACTTTTTAAACACACACACGTGCACACACACACGCACACACACACACCGCCCCCTCAAGAAACCAGGGAACCGAGGTCAAGGGGAGGAGGGGCTGAAGGGTAGAAATTTACCGGGAAATGATTGCATTTGGGAGCTGTCTTTTTTGTGATGGTCCCCATGGTGACAATTTGTGACGGCAAAGAATGTGGGAACGGGGCGCTGCCGCCTGATTGGGATGCTTTGTATCTGGAGAGGCGCTCCTGATTGGCCTGAGGGGCCCCCCAGCTCCGGGGACTCGTCCTCCATTCAGCCCACTCGAGGGCTGCACAACTGCTTCCAGCCGGACACTCGGAGCTCGCGGCCGCGCGGGCCTGGCCCAGGTCTGTGGCGGGGGACCTGCCGGGCCACGTTGGCGGCCCGGGGCCCGCACCCTCGGTCAGTGTGGCAGCCCCAGTGGCTTGGCCAACTGGGTGGGGGCGTGGGGCAGGCTGGGGCCTGAGGGAGGGGCGAGGTGCTGCGGGCGGTGGCCCAGGAGGCATGAAATTGCTGCAGATGCTTCTACAGGGGAATCCCTGCTGCCCACAGTCTGAGATCAGCCCGCCAGGCAGGCCTCGGCTTGAGTGCCAGACAGGGGGTCCTGCCTGTCCTGCGTGAGAGCTGGGGGTGGAGCGTGGGGACCAAGGCGGGGGGATGATGCTAGCAGGGCTGGGGGCGGGCTGGGAGGAGGAGGGCACCACCAGGGAGAGAAGGGGCTTGGCTTTGCTCTCAAGTGGAGCTGTCGCCTCAGCTCAGGAAATCAAAACCTTGCTGGCAAGTTGTACATGTTGGCAGCATGGCATGTGGGAGATTCAGTGGGCTGGGCAATGCCCCTTGTAGCTGGGTCACCTGGGGCAAATCACCCAACCCCTCTGAGCCTTAGCCTTAAGTATAGGGCAACAGAGCCAAGGAGACTAAATGTGTTCCCAGATGCTCAGGAAATGTTTAGTGGCCCGAATGGGCACCCACAGTCCAGGACTGTTTAGGGCTGTGGGGTGCTGGGGGTGATACCGCTGTTTGAAGCCACATGGCTTTTGGAGAAGGCTGGGTATGGCTGCTCAGAGAGACCCCAGTGGCCTGTCTGTCCCCCCTAGGTCAGCTCTGTACCCTTCCCTGCAGCTGCCAGCCACCAGCAGAAACCGCCCTCTTCATGGAAAGCCCAGTGCAGTGGCCCCCTGGTGATGGCATCCGACAGTGATGTAAAGATGCTGCTGAACTTTGTGAACTTGGCGTCCAGTGACATCAAGGCGGCCCTGGACAAGTCCGCGCCCTGCCGCCGCTCTGTAGACCACCGCAAGTACCTGCAGAAGCAGCTCAAACGCTTCTCCCAGAAGTATTCCCGGCTCCCGCGGGGCCTCCCTGGCAGAGGGGCTGAGCCCCACCTGAAAAGGGGGCCTGAGGACCAGCCCGGGAGGCTGCCCCTCAATTCTGGCCATGACTCCAGCCCCAGTGTGGGTGGGGGCTGCAAGGAGAAGTCTCTGGGGAACCCCTATAGGGAGGAATGTCTCTCCAAGGAGCAAGCCTTACAGGGGCAGAATCCAGAAGCTGCCAGGCCTGGCCAGGTGCCCATGAGGAAGAGACAGCTGCCCGCTTCTTTCTGGGAAGAGCCTCGGCCCACCCACAGCTACCCTGTTGGGCTGGAGGGGGTACTGGGCCCCAGGGAGGGACCTCCCTATGAGGGTAAGAAACACTGCAAGGGCTTGGAGCCCTTGGGGCCTGAGATGGCCACAGCGCACACGTCCCCAAGGGTACCGGCTGAAAAGGAGCCCCTCAAGATGCCTGGGGTCTCCCTGGTGGGTCGTGTCAATGCCTGGAGCTGCTGCCCCTTCCAGTACCATGGACAGCCCATCTACCCAGGCCCTCCAGGGGCCTTGCCTCAGAGCCTGGTCCCCAGCCTGGGCCTATGGAGGAAAAGCCCAGCTTCTCCTGGGGAGCTGGCCCACTTCTGCAAGGATGTGGATGGCCTGGGGCAGAAAGTATACAGACCTGTGGTTCTGAAGCCAATCCCCACTAAGCCAGCCATGCCCCCACCCATCTTCAACATCTTTGGCTACCTCTAGCTGGGCTGGGAGGGCCTTGGCAGGAGTGTCGGGGGTCCTGGGGGCTCTCCTTGTGAGGAGTAGACTGGGCAATGGTGGCTCTGGGGAACCTTCCCTTTGTGTGCGTGGGGAGAGGGCAGGACTGGGACAGGGCCTTCTCAGGCAGTCACGGAGCCTTGGATGCTGCAGGGCTGGGCCCCGCAGGCCCTTCCCCAGCCAGACCAGAGTCTGACAGGTCCTGCCACCGTCCCTGGGTGGCGGTGGTCTGTCAGCCTCCCCAGAAGCTGGGTTATACATCTGTCCATTTGCCACCCACTGTGGAAGCCAATCCCAGTTCTGTTCTTCATGTTCTTTGTAAATATTAAGAAGGTTAAAAGAATAAAGACATTTCTTTTGCAGTTTCTACATCTTGGATGTCACAAAGTCGAATGGCTCCCAGGCCTAAGAAATGCTGGTGGTGCCCAGGAGGAAGGCCGCTTATGGAGTTGGCTGGCTGTTGGTGGGGGGGAGGTCAGGGCATGAGAGGCCCTAAGACCTCTGTGATGTCTGCAGACAGGCACTGGAGGCCAACAGTCCAATTCAAAGGAAGGAGGGTGGGGAGGGTCAGCCGGGAAGGGTGCTCTGGTTGCCCATGTCAGAAGGCAGAGGCTGGGAGAGGCCTGGATCTCCGGACTCCAAATCGCCCTGGGGAATAGGGAGGCTGGTACTAGGGGAGGTGGGGCTGTACCTTTCCTCTAGCAGCCTCCTTGTTCCATGCTATCTTTGGCTTTATGTCCATGGGCGAAAAAAAGAAAAAAATAATCTCTTGCTAATTCAGATTTGGGTTACCTGACTGCTGATGGCCCTCTTCCCGGGCATGGTGCAGCACCCGGCACATGCCAGGTGTCCCTCCAGTAGAACAGTCGGGGTGGGGGGGTCACTGGTAGCAGGCAAGGGTCCTTGGTTTTGTTCTGATGGTGTCCCACTAGCACAGCCATGGGAGAGGCCTGCCCGCCCCTGTGTGCCAGCCCAGGACCTCCCCTGCGGTGTGCCAGCATGACTCCAGGGATGCCAAGCTGCTCCTTTAATCAAAGCACAGTTCTCACAGCTGGGACTGTGCAGGGGCCAGCCCTGGCTGGGCACATGGCACCCCAGCTAGCAGCATGGTGTTGGATGAGTTACTCCCCCTCTGTGCCTCAGTTTCCTCTTCAGTAAAGTCGAGGACTAGATCAGGGAGAGCAAACAGTTGCACCCAAGGTGAGCACTATCGGCTCACCACAGACCCTCTCCTTTGGGGCCCAGACAAGGCCTCAGAATCCTTCCCAACACAAGGCTCCAGGATTAGTGATTGCTAAGGCCCTTGCTCCCCTGCCTGTTTTTACTCCAGCATTCCCCCGGGAAGGGCAGTTGCTCACTGGGAAGCCAATAGGTTTGTGGTGGTTTATGTCCAGTTGTCTTGGAGGACATCAGAGGTGTGGAAGCCACATGACACAGGCAGTGTTGTTCTGAGTAGTTATCGGGTCCACAGGGCAGGGAGCCCACAGCAGGGACCCTCACCTCAGGCTGCCCTGGGCTCGCAGAGCAGGATGGGGGCGAGGAGCAGGCACATGCCCTTCCCCTGCACATCATCCCAAAGCCCTTCCTTCCAGATCCGCCGCGAAGAGGTCCACCTGCCACACTCAACAGCAGCAGTTAAAAACTCCAGTCTATTCTCAGCCACTTCCCGTGTCCTTGGGCAAGTTAATCTTCCTTTCTCTGGGCAGAAATGGCCTCATCCGAAAATCTCAATCCAGATTGAAAATGAACCTGCTTTGTGGGTTGTTGTGGCCATGATTGAGTGCCTGGCACTCTGAGTGACATGCAGGTGATGAAAAACTGTATGACCCAGTGTCACCTCTCTGTCAGATCATTGGTGGCGTCTGTCAGTCTGGCCACACCCATATTTCAATGACACTGATGAACTGGGCTCCCATGGGAGCAGGCACCTGGCTACCACACCACCCACCCTCTCTGGAGGAGCTGAGCCCTGGGGGCATGTTTATTCAGGGATGCTACTTGAGTGCACCACGCCTGGGCCCCCACAGTTCCTCCAAGGCTCAACCTTTCCCAGGAGGTGTCTGGCGATGCGTTAACTTCAAACGCAGGGAGGCTTCGACTGGAAGCAGAAATCTTTACCCAGAAGTGGCTGCATAGAAGCACATGGCACTGGGATTCCCCATGCAGAAGCAAGCTGGGGAGAAACACATCTAGGAAAGCTTTGGAAAGCAGCCACAGTAGCAGCGGCCGATGTGCACCTGCCAGCAAGGGAGCTGGGTTGGTTCAAGGTGACACCCAGGAACTTGCTCCTACTCAGCCCCAGATCCCCAGCACTAGGCTGACCAAGCCCCTGCTCCTGGAACCACTGCCAGCATTTCCAGGGCTGGTGATGACATTAAGACATTGCTGAGGCTGAAGTCGCCCCCGGGGGGCTGGCTAAGTAGGGGGATTTCTGCAGAAGTGTTGGCTAGAGTCCTCCTGGCAGCAGTGATGGTTGAAAAATGAAAAACGGGTCCAGCCTGTCCACTGGCCAATCAGAACCGCTCAACCCTGGGAGCCCAGGCCAGGCATTCACTCTTTGCTGCTGGGTGGAGGGCATCGGGGAAGGCCAGCGCTAGGCAAGGCACTGAAGGGTGGGGAGCGGCCCTTATCAGTGGCTGTGACCAACTGGTACGGATGTATATCGATAGTCTAAGAACCCCATGTGGCACCTCAGGCCAGGGACCTCACAGGTAAATGGTCCCACTTACCTCCTCAATCTCACTCCCTCCACAGGGGCCCCTCTCTCAGACCAGCATCCCTACCCTGCCCAGAGCCTGTGGCCATGCCTGTTAAGACTCTGTGGGACATGAGGTGACTGGAGAAATGCTGCAGTTCAAAGTTGGCCTGATGCCCCACCCCATTCCAAATGTCCCTGGACGTCTTTCTGTTTTGTCCCATCAACAGCCACCCCCACCCCCGACTGAGACTGGAGACTCTCCCTCCAGCTTCCAGCTCAGCAAAGGTATTTTTCGCCCAGGGTTTTCCCCTGATTATGCATGGAACCCTCCTTGGCCGCTTCCCTTGCACCCCTGGGTTGAACATCCCATCTGGGAGGACGCAGGGTTTCCTTTGAGATTCCTTCAGGATCACCACAGCGAGGCAGCATGGGCCCCTGGCCAAGCACTGTTGCTGTGTGTGCCCAGGCAAGTCCCCTCCCCTCCCTGGGCCTGTTTGTACCACAAGGGAGTGGGCGAGATGCAGCTGTGGCTGGCAAGTGAAGCGTGGCAGATTTCCCTCTTCAGGAGGACACTGGGACTGACGCGCTCCATAGGAAGCCAGTGTTTTGGAGCTGGCAAGGCCACCAGGGGCCACAGTGATGAGGACCCTGGGGGCCCCTGAGGAGCGAGCCGAAGGCGGAGCTGGGCCTGATACCAGTGCTCCCCACCAGCTCAGCTGCTCACTTTCCAAAGGCCAGAAACTACCTTCGACCCTATTCCAGATTCTGGGGTGGGGCTGGTAGGGGTGTTTGGCAAGGTTGCCGGCTCTGGTGTCACCACAGAGTGATTGGGACTCTTGTGGCTTTAATCCCACTTGTGGAGGGAACACTGATGAGTGCCTGAAACTTCCATGGAAGCAGGGCCCGCTGGTGTTAGGGCTCGGGACTCAGACTAGGGGAGAGCTCGGCCACTGCGCCAAAACCCCAGCTCTCACACCTGCCTCGCTGGAAGTGGGCTGGCTTGCTCCACAGGGCCACGCTGGGGCCACAGAGGCCGCCGAGGGGACAGGGCTCTGTGCCTCTCCAAACTGTTCCCTCTGCAAGTGCTGATGACGGCCACGACTCCAGCACTGTCAGGTAGCCAGTATTTCGAATTTTTTTTTCACCTGGTACCTCAACTTCTGCAGCAAAACAGGGCTGAGCAGATTGTGAAGACAGAGAGCCAGGGAATTTGTGCGTGTAAGACAATCTCAGGTGTTAGGGGACTTGTAGACACAGACCCCTGCTTGTGATGATGCTCCTGCTCCCTTGAACCAGGGGGGGCAAACCAACCCTGACTCCTCCGACCACAGAGCAGAACGCTGCCCCCTCTCCATGGCTGTCGGGTCTCTTCTGGTGAGTGAGGGACACCCTCTCCTGGGTCTTTCAGAAGCCCAAAGGTGACACACCCAGGGGCCTGTGCGCCCTGTCCTCAGCCCCTGCCCCACCCCACTCCTGCCAGGAACAGCGCTGAGAACCCAAGGCCCTGGGTGGACTGGTGAGAGGGACTTTGCTGGACAAGGTGTCATCTGTGCACCATTTTTATTGAACCTAAGGAAGCCCTCTGTGACCGAGGGTCCCCCTGCCCACCACTGCACCACACCTTCAGCAAAAAAGCTCAAAGTCAAGTGGAGAGTCTCACAGAGCGAACGGGGAAGGGCACAGGAACAGGCCTGCAGCAAGGTTGTCCTGGAAAAGTGGACTCACCATCCGCAGTCCAGAGCTGGAGACAGGGCTTCTGTGCCGGCCCCTGCCTTCCCCAGAACACTCCAAGTTCCACCCTGCCCCCTCTCTGGGCCCCAGGAATGGAGGTTTCTGCCATTCCTGGGCAGAGGAAGTCTGGGATCTACTCATCAGTTTGAAAACAAACATGGCTTTTCTCCTACTTGACATTCCGTTCTCTGCTCTGTGCAGAGGTCTGGCCAGAGACGTGGTGAGGTCACAGCAGCTGCCCCAGCTGAGAGGGAGGCAGTCCACAGCCTCGTTCTGTCACTAGGTCCCCTTGGATTAGGGGACACCATCGTCCTGAGGCTTAGTGAAATAGTCTGAGCAGCCACTCCTCCACATGACCTTGGTTACTGGGTATTCTCGTGTTTCAGGTATCGAATCATCCTGCCTGGGAGAGGCAACGTGTCTAGGAGTTTCAAACGGTATTTCCCAACGGCCTTTCTAACTCGCAGCCGGCAAAGGTGAGCCAGAGGTCTCGGAAGTTCTGGAGAAAGGAGAGAAAGAAAGAGGCTTAATTTGTCATCTGCAGCCAGCAAAGAGTCTGCATCTATGACCTCTGGCATATGGCAGGTGCCCAAATGAGATGGCTGGGTAAGAGGGAGAACTTGGTCTGCCCCATGCTCCATAATCCCACTCTCTGCCAACTGAAAAGATCTAGCAAAGCACCTTCCCATTTCTCACTCCTCACTGACCTGCACAGCCTAAGGAAGTAGACAGGGCAGGTACTACCCCCATTTCATAGGTGAGGACTTGTGAGGCTGCACCTGGGACTAGAGCTGGCATCTCCCTCATTTTGTGCTCCTTCTTCTACACACACAGCCTGGAACCCTAACACAGCCTCAGCAAAGAGGTCAGAGTTTGACCTCTACAGTGCCTGCCATGCATAGAATTAAGCTCTAGGCTCCAG